GACTTCTGCTAGGTTTAACGTTTTTCTGTGTAATCTTATTCTCTGACTTTCTTTTTGAACTTTCTTTAGGACACTTCTTATTTATTTAGCTTTGTTTCTAAACTAAAGTTGCATATTTTATGCTTATCAAAGACATGATTTTGTACTGAATACAGCCTTTTAGTTTTAGACTATTCTTTTGAACATTTCTCCCCTTAATTGTGGAATTTTGTCACAAAAACTTTCCAAGGGTAGGGTTTCTGTTGTATCTTGCAGCTAGATCTTCAAAATTCCAAGGCTTTTGTTTTAACTTCTTATATTTGCACTTTTAACCTGTTTATTTGGTCATGGTTTGAGCTCTTTCTTTAGGCAGTTTGCAGGAATTTAGTATAATTTGAGAACTGAAAGATTAAGATGCTATATAATGAAATGATCAAACTCTGTCATAATAGTTCTTTAGTTTGACTTGTGTGAGACAAAAAAAAAGGACTGTAGATTGTAGGATATACTTATAGTAACAAACAAAATTTCATTTATATGTTTTTCGCATACAGTATTTTCGTTTTTGTTGTATTTGTTGTGCTTTTTCAGTCTAAAATGATTATCTATTATACTGTTGTTATTATTTTACCGATCAATCACATTTTATGCTTTCAGACCAAATCCATCATAAGAATTATGAAACATACTCCTTAGGGAGTTGTAGTTTAAAATAAACATTTTATTGTTGTTGTTGTTTTTTTTCATTTAAAAATGTAATAAAAAATATTACATTTCCTGATTTCTGTGTCATTAAAAACATTAAATCATTTTTTGTTTTAGGTGTTAATGAACAGAAATTTGGCACACAATTTGGATGTTAATGTTTTGTTTTTGTTACAGTTATTGTTTGTAATTTTCAGCATTAGTAACTTTACATGAGTTTTACCTTCATAAATCCATTCTATGATTGATTATCTTTGCAAAATGTTGCATTTATGCTTTAATATGTGTTTAGCTGAATAAGAAAAAATATCTTTTAAATGCTTCTTTTATTTCCAGAATTTTTATAATCTTGTCATTTTCATTTACTTCAACTATTGTTGAACCAGGTACGAAAAGTATTTATTTGAAATACCAGAAAGATTCAGTCATTAGCTTTTATTCAGGTTGCCAACTTGAGAAAGTTTACATGAGAAACAAGGAAACAGTTAAAATTCACAAAAAAAACAAAATATGGGTTTTATTTACTAGTGTGACTCACGTGACACATTTTCTCTAGGTATCTTCTCATATCTATTTTATTCACCCCCAAGAAACTATGCAATTAAACGTAAATTACTCACTATAAAATTTTCATTGCTCATACAAACCATAATTTTATCGCCTTCAATTTTGTTTATTTAGAAAATAGAAAATCAGACCTCTCCTGCCACACCCACTTGTCACACCCTTTGTTTCAGGATTTGTTAATAGTTCTCTCTTACATTTAATTATATATTACTTATAACCAATAGAAAGCCAAAGGGTTTCATCTACCAAATGAAGTATTGTATAATGTTGTGTTCTGAACACAGAATAGTTAGTTTCACTTCTACTTCAACTTTGGTTCCCATGGGAATCACAACATCTAGCGTGGATGCATTTGTAATGGCTCTTATTGCATAGTTATAAAGCCAGAAAAATTATGATTGTTAGACGAAAATTGTCTGCTTTTTGCACGTTATTAGTCTATGTTCTTTGGTGCATTATTCAATTAAATAAGAATTATTTAATGCATTACTATCATTAGTATAAGAAGAATAGTCAACTATTCGAAAGCGCTCGAGTTTTGGGTCCTATTTTAAGTTTATTACTTTATATGTGATCCTTTGTGCTAACTCTTTTATCAAGATTAGTATAACAAATGTAGGGTTAAGTGTCATTGATAGTCGAGAACCAAAAAAATAGAAGAATACTCAGGTAAGTACTTTATTTCTTGTTTATTATATTTATTTCTGTGTAAGTAACTAAAATGTAAAAATACATATCTCCTTAGGTTAGTTAAGGTTAGATTATGTAAAATAAACAACAATAATAATATAATAAAAATATTTCACAAGGTACACATGTCAGCAGCTCGTGGTTAATGTAATTCGATAGTGTAATGTGAGCTGCACATTCCCAAGCGATTTACAACTTATAATGACACAAATAGTAGTTAGACATAGTTCAAAGGGTGATCAAAAGGGCAATAAATCAATATATTTTAATTACAAATAGATGTATACTGTTACGAGTTTAAAGCTATGTAGGATAAACAAATGTAGTTTCATGCTACATTTGAAATCATTCTAGAAAGAAAAGGGGGGGTAATTTAAATTTATTTCAATTTTTTTAGGGGGCTATGAGTTGACCAACCTTGTATAGAGTTAGGGTAGAGAAAATAACTGATAAAATATAAAGTTTTACTGAAAACAAACATTTGAAATGTACTTAGGAGGTTTTAGAGATTGCAGAAATGAAATTTGGAATTTTTGAGATGAAGAAGAGTATTTTTACACTAAACATGAAAATCACTTTGCACATGGATTATTCAAAGCAAATACTGAATATATTCAAGGACAAATCTTTATTTTAGTTTATTAAGAATACTTCACCAAATTTTTTTTTGTATCTGAAAGACATTTCATGTTCACTGAGACTGCCAAATTTTGTGAAGATACACACTATATTGAAAGTTATAAGCATTAAATCTGTAAAGACTTTAAGCAAGTACAAAGAGGTCACTGGTGCCAGTCAAATTGACAGAGCCCATGTGGAGAGAGTTGAACGAGCTATTCCTGGCACAAGATGATGCAGTAATGTATCAAGTAAGTTGTACATGGAATTTCCACAAGAACTTGTGATTGTTGCTCTACAATACCATTCTTTGTTTGAATAGTAACATCCTGGAGTGTTGAATTTTTAGTCTGCCACACATGTGACCATTTGTCATCTTAATAATTAATGTCTTAAGTTATTTTAGTTTCTTTCTCATGATACAGTTTTTTCCTCAATATTTTCTTTTTTATGGCTACTTGCTAAGATGCTGACCAGTTTTCACTCACTAGTGTGCTTTAGTACGTCATTAGTTATGATAACCAATCCTTATATCCTGACTTCAAAAGTACTTTCAACTTGCTCCTAGAAAAAATGGCTGTTAAATTGTCACTTGCAAATAAGTACTGGGTTTGGGCTGTTCCAAACCAAGATATTTGATATATAAATGTTTCTTCAGTTTGCTAACCTCTCTCTTTACTCTACTTCTCTAATGCTGGGTACAAGTGTATTAATAATGTGAAACACACACAGATTTTTAATGTGAAGCATTTCAAAAGTGATGGTATCCTGCATCCTGTAAGACTGTTAATTTTATGTAAATTTAAGGATTTGTTCAGTCTGTTGTTTTAGTCAGAATATTTTGTATCTGCTGAAAATATGGAAATATACCAATGGATTTGATGTTAATAATGGTTATTGGTCCCTTTTATTTGGTTGTTCCAAAACAACAACAAAAAAAGAAAGTTACATTCACTAACATTAGCACTGCTAATGCTTTTGTTTTTGTCCTCAGTTTGTGAGAAAGAAATTACTCAAGCACCAAGAAAAAACACTGTGGTATCATCTCCAAATTTCCCAGACAGTTATCCTCTAGGAGTAGATTGTAACTGGAACATATCCACAATGGGCAGTAAATCTAACCTTCACCTCATTACATTCAACCACTTGAATGTCAGCCAGAACCATACATTAACAATCTCAAGAGTTTTGAAAGGATCACAAACCACTGTGAATATTACCCTTGGAGAAAAAAATTCTTCTCTTCCTAGTGATTTACTTGTATTAACACCAAACCATGTGAAATTTTATGCTCCTTTCAACAACATTTTCACAGTTGGAAATGGATTTCAGCTCAGTGTAACAGCCCTTGGTGAGTATGTAATTAGACTGTGTGTGTGTGTGTATATATATATATACATGCAAGTTGTGTAAGTGTAACTTTTAATTTTTGCAAGAATATGCTGAAAATAATAATCTGTTATCAGTTGCCAATAAATGATCAATTATTTTGTGAATTTTCCTTTAACAGTTTTCTTTGAGATAAGTTATAATGCTGCCAGAGACAATGACAACAAACTGAAATTTGATTGCATAAACTCCATCAAACTTTAGATCTAACGCATTGATGGTTTGACATGATAATAATAATAGGCATACTTAATGATTACGAAGTAAAACAACAATTATAATCTTTAGTCTTATGTATGAGTTCCTTAAATGGAAGTAACAGTTTTGAAACAATACACTTTCCTTTTATCAATCTTTCACAGATTCACAGTTACTGTTTGCCTCGTTTTCAAGTTCTAGACGTATAACTTGCAGTTGTATAACAGTGAACTACTGCAGTTAATTAAGAGATTACAGGCATACAAGTTCCCTTATATCTTGATTATTAACTGTTTCATGTTAAACAGAAAATATTGGGGTAGAATATTCTAGAAAAAATGTGAACTTTATTATGATTGGTCAGTGAGACCAAGGAGTTGTCATGCAAAGAGCAGGCTTGTCTCAAAATTCACTCCCAGTCAAATTTAAAAAAAAATAATTGTAAAGATTTCACAATAATATAGAATTACAAAGGCTTTTTCTTATGAAATCTGACCTACTTTAAATCTAAGCATGTGTATAATCTTAGAAAAAACATTCATGCTTTGCGTTTTATAATAAAAGTAGAATGAAATCCATTTTGGTGTTTTTTTAACACTCATATTTAAAAAAAGAAAAACAGTGAAACCTGGTTTGCTTGATCCTGAAAAATCTGGTACTTAATTATTTAAAATGGTAACTTGTGTATCTGTAGCCCAGTTTGTTTTTGTGTTAGACAGGTGTAAGTGTATTTCTTATCTTTATTATTTAATTCTTTCTCCTTCTCATATGTGTGAAGACATCAATCCAAGCTTAGATTTTAAAATTTTATAAATGTTAATAAGGAAAGATATTTGTGTGAGGAAGCTATTTACAAAACTTACAAAAGACTAACATAATCATAAACTAAAGTAAAGTAACATTGATTTTGTTCTGTTACTTCTCTTTCAAATGTCTGTCATTGAAGTGTTCTAAACTTGCGTAAACATTTTTTAATAATCAGTCAGCTATTCAGATAATGCCAGCTGGTTCTGATTATTTGTTTGATGGATAAATACTGAGTATGAAGGTGAATAATCAGCACATCACTATTTTTGAAATTGTTAAGCACATGAATTGTCCCTTCTCCATTAATTAATTTACCATTTTTTTCATTTGTGGTGGGATTTGTTGACAACTACTTTTTGGGTATAATACAACAAATAACAAAACTTTGGCTGACTTTATATGAAAAATGTTATTTAGGGTCTTCTAAAATCATGGAATTTGTTAATATGTGATAGAATTATGCAAATAAGACCTCTGAATTAAGAACATATTCTGTTTTGTTCAGTTTAATGTGTAAGAGATTTTACCATGACAGATACCTGAAATATTAGAAAGTTCTTCTTGAGCCCACATACATACTACTTAGTTTCTGTTAATCATGTAAAGTTAAATAGTGCTTCCATTCTTTTCATACAGTTGACTTAGACTTTGATCCTGTATGGTGAAGCATGCATCAAATTCAATATTCTACTCTTAAACACATCCTTTAAAGAGTGATAAATATTTTGAAACAATTTTGATACACTAAATTTGTGCATGAAAACAGTAATGGCTTCTTGTTGAAATTGTTTAAGGGCTCCACTTAAGATTTCAGACAAATGTTTCTTGTACGTGCACAGTAGAAATGGTAAAAATTAATCAACAACTACTTGTTTAAATTGGTTCATGTAAATGTTTTTATTTTCTTTAGCATTTTGTAAATGCTAAACAATCTGATATTATAGACTTCTTTTGTTTAAAATTTTAAAAAGTACCAATATTAATTGACATCAGTAATCAAAACAAAAATTTTCAATGTTTTTATATTATTATATAAAACTGACTTCATAAATTGGCCCTAATAGTTGACTGAGATGAATGAATCTATTACTGCTTAATTTCAGTTTGATTCAAAATAGACTGCATTTGTGTATATTTATAGAAAAAATATTTAATTCTTTCTTTGGGGTAAATTTATCAAAGTGTATACTTACAACTCAGATATATTATTGTAAACAGTGTAAAGTGGAGAATTTATTTATACATTGTTTTAAACAATTTAGATTGGCATTTTTCAACCTATTTATCATTGTATGTAACCAAATCTCATACCTTTAGAAAATTAATTTTTACAAAATAAATGACTTGGGCTGTTTTTCTCAAGTAATATTTTATGCCTTAGAAAATCATTATACCGTGTTGAACTGCTTTCTCTGTATACCCATAGTGTAACATAACGTTTTAGCTCACCTGACCTCCAGGGCTTGATGATCAAATCTTTTGAACATGTTGACAGTTTAATAAGATGTGTGGCACAGATATTCTTTGTTATCCATTCTTGAATGTATATGTGCAGTTCCATCAGTCAAATGAAATTAGTAAAATATGTCAATTCATAAAACATTGTAAAATCAAATAAAAATAAGGAAATGGAAAAATCAAACTTTTGAGTCCAGCAGGTTTTAAAGAAAACCACATAGATTCATTGCTTCCAGTTGTTTGGGATAAATAAATTGATTTTAAAGGAAAGTAGTTGGATTCAGTGGTTTGGGCTAATTGAGTTTGTTTTAAAGAAAAACATTGGGATTCATTGCTTCCAGTGGTTTGTACTGAGTTAGTTTTAAAAGAAACTATACACC